TCAACACTCAGCCTAGCATGGCTATGTATGCCTATATAAGTGTATGTGGTCTCCCCAATGAGAGTGTCTTTATACCTCCAGTTTCACATGGTGCCCAGGACATAGTAGATGATTAATAAACACTTGCTGATAGAATGGTTATAAATATGATATACATAATGTAATGTATAAAAATATATTGTGTATTATAATATAAATAAATATAAAAAGATAATACCCTTGTATTTGCTTTTTTGTGTTTCGTGATCATTATTCAGTTATTTGAGATGTGGTCAGCATTTTTCTCTTAAAAGAACGTGTATCTTTTTTATGTTTTGTTTTGTTTTTTAATTTTATTAATTTATTTTGATTTATCAACAATCGCTTCCATATTCTTTTGAGTTGAAAATTTTTCTCCCCCTTCCTCCCCCCCCCACCCTCCCCAAGACGGCACACAATCTGATATAGGCTTTACATTTACATTCCTATTAAACATATTTTCACATTAGTGAAGTTGTAAGTAAAAATTAAAACCAATAGGAGGAACCATCAGAAAGAGGAAACAAAACTCAACAGAAGGTAAAAATAAGTGGTAGCGATTCAACTTCCATAGTTCTTTCTTTGGATGTGGACAGCATTTTCCATCACGAGGCCTCTGGAGATGTCTTAGATCCTTGTTTAACAATATTAGTCATCGCATAACATGACTGTTATTGTGTACAAAGTCCTCTTGGTTCTGCTCACTACACTCAGCATCAGACCATATAAGTCTTTCCAGGTTTTTCTGAAGTCAGCCTGTTCATCATTTCTTACAGCACAATAGTATTCCATTACATTTATATACCACAACTTGCTCAGCCATTCCCCAATTGATGGGCATCCTCTCAATTTCCAATTCTTTGCCACCACAAAAAGAACTACTATGAATATTTTTGTACATGTGGGTCCTTTTCCCATTTGTCTGATCTCTTTGGGATATAGCCCTAGAAGTGTTATTGCTGGGTCAAAGGATATGCACATTTTTGTAGCCCTTTGGGCATAGTTCCAAATTGTTCTCCAAAATGGTTGGATCATTTCACACCTCCACCAACAATGTGTTGAGTGTTCCAATTTTCCCACATTTTCTCCAACATTTATCATTTTCCTGTTTTGTCATGTTGGCCAATCTGATAGGTGTGATGTGGTACCTCAGAGTTGTTCTGATTTGCATTTCTCTAATTAATAACGATTTAGAGCATTTTTTCCTATGACTATAGATGGCTTTAATTTCTTCATCTGAGAACTGTCTGTTCATATCCTTTGACCATTTATCAATTGGGGAATGGCTTGTATTCTTATAAATTTGTCTTAATTCTCTATATATTTTAGAAATGAGGCCTTTATCAGAGAGACTGGTAGTAAAAATTCTTTCCCAATTTTCTACTTTCCTTCTAATCTTTGTCTGTGCAAAAACTTTTCAATTTAATGTAATCAAAATTATCCATTTTGCTTTTCATAATGTTAAAAGAATGTATATCTTTTAGTTAATTTTTCTGTGGGTCTGATTTTTTAAAAATTACTGCTTTATGATCTATTACAGGTGAAACTAAAAACAGCAGTGAAACTAAAAACAGCAAACATTGAGAGTTTCCAGATGAATGCAGGGTATATTAAACATTAATATTTAAATTTTACAGATAATATTTAAAATAGTTAAATTATATCTAAAGAGTGTTATTTTGAAGTATGTTCTCTTTGAGCATATAAGCTCAGTTACTTATGCATGATTTTTATTTTTAAATTAAATTATTTTTTTTCAGTTAGCAAAAGTTCACTTTCCTTCTTACTTTCTACCCCCCAAAGTGAAACCAAGCAAAACAAATTTCTGCTTGACCACATCTAAAAAAGAGTCTCATTCTGTACTCTCAATCTTTCACCTTTCTATCAATAGGTGAGTAGCCTGTTTCATGCTTATTCTTGGCATTGATAAGTTTTCAAGTCTTTCCAAGTTATTTTTCTTTACCATATGTTGTCATTTTATAAATTATTCCCTTGTTTCTGTTAATTTTGCTCTGTATCAGTTCGTACATATCTTCTCAGGTTTCTCTGAAACCTCCCCCTTCATAATTTTTTACTGTACAGCAGCATTTCAGAACATTTATGTACTCTTAACTTGTTCCACCATTCCCCAATGGGTAGGCACCTCCTTGGTTTCCAATTTTTTGCCACCGGGAAAATAACTGTAAATATTTTTTGCATCCTTAGAGTTTCTTTTGTTTAGGATTAATGCTTCCTTTAATCTGCCTTTCCTCTGATTCCCCCTTTTCCCTTTTCTTCTTTTCCTCCTGTTAAGTAAAATATATTTCTGTGCTCAATTGTATATGTATATTCTTCCCTCCTTTGACCAGTTTAAATGAATGAGGCTTCTCCAAGCCCTTCCTCCTTGTATATAGAGACTTCTACATTATATACTGCAGGCAGTATATAATGATGCTTGATTTTTTTCTCCTGGTTATGTTTTCATTTGGTTTTGCTATGAGATATACTTTAAATTTTGTCCTAATTTTTTCAGTCACTTGACCTCATTTTACTTTTAATGGGTCTGTCATAGAGTCATTAACTTCTGTTTGATCCACTCTAGTTTTTAGAGAGTTTATTGCTTGGCCAAGGTTTCGTACATATTCTGCCAAGCTGTTAATTCCCTTTCCAATCCTTTCTTCAATAGCTCTCCTTTGTTTTCCTATTTTTCCTTTAGCACCCTCATTTCATTTACTTTAAAAAAAAATTATCTGTGAGATAATTTCCCCTAACTTTCCCTTCCTTTCTATCACTCCTTCCCCAGCTCCATATGCCCGTTACCCTCTCTTTCCATTCTTCTCTTAATATCATCAAGATATAACAGAACCACTTTCAGGCCTTGTCTAAGTAGATTCCCTCTATGACCCCTAATGAGAAGAGAGTCCACAGGGGACATGTATATCATTTCCTCATATTAGAATGTAAGCAGTTTATCCTTTTTTTTAGTCTCTTATCATTGTTCATATTTAACCTTTTTATATTTCTCTTGACTCCTATATTTGTACTTCATAGTTTCTCTGCAGCACTGGCCTTTTCATCAGGAATGCTTGGAAATCTTTTATTTCATTAGAAATCTGTTTTTTTCACTATAGGATTATACTCAGTTTTGCTGGGTAGATTATTCTTAGTTGTAAACCTATATTCTTTGCCTTCTAGCATATCATAAGATCTCTACTCCTTTCTATCGGTGGTTGCTAAATCAGGGGTAATTCTGATGTGGCTCCTCAGTACTCAGATTCTTTCTTTCTGATTCTTCCCAGTACTTCTTTACCCCAAAGCTCTGGATTTTGGTTAATAATGTTTCTGAGTGTTTTCATTCTAGGATTTCTTTCAAGAAGTGACTGATGGATTCTTCTGTTTCTGTTTTGTCCTTTGGTTCCAAGAGTTCTAGACAGTTTTTTATTTATTTATTTTTTTAATTTCTTCAGCTGTGATGTCTAGGCTCTTATTTTGGTCTTGGTTTGCAGGCAGTATATAATGATGCTTGATTTTTTTCTCCTGGTTATGTTTTCATTTGGTTTTGCTATGAGATATACTTTAAATTTTGTCCTAATTTTTTCAGTCACTTGACCTCATTTTACTTTTAATGGGTCTGTCATAGAGTCATTAACTTCTGTTTGATCCACTCTAGTTTTTAGAGAGTTTATTGCTTGGCCAAGGTTTCGTACATATTCTGCCAAGCTGTTAATTCCCTTTCCAATCCTTTCTTCAATAGCTCTCCTTTGTTTTCCTATTTTTCCTTTAGCACCCTCATTTCATTTACTTTAAAAAAAAATTAGCTCTTTTTTAACTCTTGCTTTATCTCTTCCAGGAATTCCAGTTGAATTTGAGCCCAAGCTGTGTTTTTCTTCTAGGCTTTGATTGTAGATGTTTTGGAGTCATTCTCTTTTTTCTGTATTTATGTCCTTAGTTGCCCCTGTCACCACGGGAATAGGGTTTTTTTTGGATCAAATTGTTTTTGTTTGCTCATTCTTCTTGCCTCCTTCCTGGCTTCAGGCATTATGTTAGGGCTAAGCTCAGCGCACCTTGTAGGGAAGGTCTGGGCTGATCTTACTGTTGCTTTCTTGGGATATTGAGTGTAGTGTTATTCTGGGATCTCCAGAACAGCTCAGTCTCAAGACCTGAAAGTTTCTAGTGCTTCCCAAGTAGTCTGATCCAAGTCAGGTGTGATTTCTGACCCCCAGGTCTGAGCTCTGCAAGTTCCTGGTGTGGGTTGGAATCTGAGCAATACACTTGTGGACTTGCCCATTTGGAGTTTCAGGAGACAGCTGTGAGATTTCAGTCACTCTCGGCTAACTGGAAAGCTCTGCTGATTCAGTGACAGAATTATGGGCTCCTCTGGTCTGAGGTTCCTGCCCTGATCATTCTTTTGCAGGCTTCAAACTGGGCTGGAGGCTAGCACTAAGATCCCATCTGCTCCTGGGGTCCAAACTGTAGAAATGCTTTTTGAATTTCTCCTTTCTGGGCGCTCTTCTCTAGCATCCACAGACCTTGTTCTCTGTCTTCCTATGCTGACCTGGGCTGGGAAAACGGTGTATTGTGATTTTTTTCCCCTGGGATTTCCCTATTAGGGTTTGGTCTGGTGCATTGTTTAAAAGTGTTTGGAGGAGTTTTTTAGAAGGGAGCGTGCTGTATTTCTTCTTGCTATTCTGACATCTTAACCCCACCTTATATTTTGAAATATTATTGTTTTGTTTTTAATTTAGAGAAAAATGTCCACTGACTGGATCTGTGCTTTTTCCCAAGATTTATTTTAATATTACAACTTACTATGACACAGATTGAAACACTTCCCAAGATGGCGGCCACTAGATGCTGAAACTGCCCTAACTTGTGTTGTTTTAACAGTTCATGATATGGTGAGCTTTAGACAGAGGCAAACTGGCCTGCCTCAAGAAGCTGTTTAGTCCCAGTGGAATTTGATTTCCATGCATCGCATCATGGTTCCTTTTTATGTTTTCCAGGGGAAGGTGGCTCAGACTGCGTGTATGTCTGCCTGCAAGCATCTGGCCACTTCACTGATGCAGCTGCTGCTGGAAGCAGACGTGAGGCAGCTCAGCCTGGGTGCCCTGCAGCAGTTCAACCTGGATGTGCAGGAGTGTGAACGTAAGGACTGGTTCTTTATGCCCCAGCAGTGGATTGTGGGGTGAGGGGGAGGGCAGGGGAATGCCCCTGAAGGAAGCGGAGCCCACCTGGAGAACAGAGGTGGGCTTGTGGACACCTAGAAATCAGACACGTGAGCAAAGAACATCCCAAGAGTCTAAGGGAAAGAAGAAACTAAGCACTCAGGTGCGTCAGCGGCTCTGGATCGCTCAGCTTCCGGTCATCTGCCGCCCCTTGATTGAAACTGCCTTTTGAAGGCCACTCACAATCTTGTAATTGCTAAATCCAATGGCCTTTTCTCAGCCATTTTCCTTCTTGACCTTTCTAGATGGTTTGACTCTTTTGACCTCCACCTCCTTCTAACATGCTTCTGTTGCTTGTGTTTTTATGACATTGTTTTCTTGCCAGCTGTCTGATCAGTTTGCCTCAGTTTCCTCTGTGAGATTATCATTCATATGCCATGGTATTGCCCTAGGGCAGAGGTAGAGAACCTGCAGCCTTGAAGCCACATGTGGCCTTCTAGGCCCTCGGGTGCAGCCTTTTGACTGAGTCCAAGTTTTACAGAACATTATTGAGGGGATTTGTTCTGTGAAGTTTGGATCCATCAGGGGCCACACTTGAGGACCTAGAGGGCCACATGGGGCCTCCAGGCTGCAGGTTCCCAACCGCTGCTGTAGAGGTACTCCACAATTTGATTCTGACCCCTCACTTTTCTCAGTATACTCTCCTTTAGTGATTTCATCAGCTCTCTTGTGTTCAGCTATTGTCCTTAGATAAATGTGTGTCAAATCTCATTCCTGAACCTGAGCCCTGTAGCTCCAACTGCCTGCTTGATAACATCCGTATTTCTCACAGGGCCATCACACCCCTATTCTTCCAGGCACCCAGAGTCACCCTTCAGGCATCTTGCACTCTCCCTAAAGCCCCATTGCCAAGTGTTTGCCAAATCCTACAGGTCTGCCTCCTCAGCCTCTCTTGCCTTTGTCCTTTTCCTTCTACTCAGGACACCCTGATTATGTTCTAGGCGATCTTGATCTGTCACCCAGAGAATAACAGTCACCTCCCAGCTGATCTTCCTGCCGTCAGATGTCCCTTCTCTGGACCACTCTCCCCAATGCTGCCAACCTGAGATTCCTCAAACCAGAATCTGTCCTTGTCACTCTCCGGCTCAGTAAGCCTCAGTGACTCCCATTCCTCTTAAAATAAGAACTGTTCTCTCATCGGAAGCCCATCACAATCTGGGTCTAGCCTGGATTTTCAATCTGATTACATGTGTGTACCTTGTGCTTCCAGTCAAATTGAGCTCCTCACTGTCCCCTTTATGCAATGTGACATTTCCTGTCTCAGTGCCTTTGCTGCACCTCCTGTCCCCCTCCCCTCTCACCTCCTGGAACCCAGAACTGCCTTCAAGACTTGGCTGAATTGCCATCTCCTTTTTAACATCAAGGCTTTCAAGACACCTTTCTTAATTCCCCAGTCTTGAGTATCTCCCTCCCATCCCCTAGTGTGTCTTTATTTTGTATATAGCTTGATTTTTACTTATTTTGTGAAAATATTATATCTCCCCCCCACCCCATAGACTGTAAGCTCCTTGAGGGCAAGGACTGGATAAATTTGGCCTTGTACTCTAGCACCTATCATAACTGCCTGGCATGTAGGACACATGCTTAATAAATGTTTGCAGATTGATTGATTAATTGACCTGAACTGTTTCCATGGATTCAGTTCCTGCTCCCCAACTGTAAACTGTTCCTCTGCTTGGGGAGGGGAGTGGTTCCGTGGCAGTCAAGGCTGTGGAGCTCCTGTGGATGTCACTGAACCATGCAGAGGGGAAAAAAATGGCGTGGTTCATGGAAAATTTGACTGGCTCTTGGAAAAAGATGCAGGAGTAAAATGGAGTGGTAGCCAGCCAAGTGGGTCTGCAAACCCAAGCCCCTTTGTGGCTTGCTGTGGGTTCTGCCAGCAGCTGGCCAGGAGACCTTTCTGATCAATCCAAAGAAGCTCATGGAAAGAATTAGAACAACCTTTGTTTGGGGGGTGGGGCACATACACAAAATCTATAACATATATACACACATGTAAATGTATATATGTATCAGCATGATAGGGGGACCAGAATCCTAGATTTGGAGTCAGAACACCAGCTTAGGTGAGTCTGACATCTAACACTTAATTGCTCTTTTAAAATGGACGAATGGTAACAGTGGAAGTTAACAAAGCTCGATAAGTGTGTTTTCTCCTTTAATCTTCACAGGAATGATGGGGAGAAGGTGCTAACTCTTATTGTTACTTTACAAATTAGGAAATTGTGCCAGAGCCCTATTGACGCCCTGCTTCATTCAGGATCTTCTAGCTAGCAAGAAAGGATTGGAACCCAGATCACTGTAATTCCAAGTCCAGCACTTTGTCCAATATGTCTGAGCTCATTTTCTTTATCTGTGAAATGGAAAGGATAGCAGCTGTAGGACCCGCCTCACGACTTAATGGGACACTCTGCTGGGATAGTGGTGTATGGAAAGGGCTAGATAGATTGGCAGATTTCTCCTGCCCGGGCGACCGTGGCACAGCTCAGTAAGCCTTTTCTTGGGTCTAAGTTTCCTCCTCTGTCAGGTGAGGAGGGGAGGAGAAATCTCTTCTTCCAGAGCTCGTCACTCCTTTGAGAATAGCTGGGTATTTCCAAGGAATCTTTCCAGGTATTTCTCAGCTGTCTTCAGTCTGCCGTCATCTCCTTTCTTGGCCGATTTTTGTGTCGGCTGAAAGTGATAGACTTTGTGGACAAAGGTTGGGTGAAGTGGGTTGGGCTTGGCGTCATACACATCGGCGCATCTGTGTCCCTGGACTCGTCTCTCCCCACTGCCTTTGGGTGACTCACGGCTTGGGCTCTTCAGTATCTGTGCCGTGGCATGACTCATCGATGGAAAGAAGAGCGAAGTGAAAATGGCGCCTCGCATTCGCCCGACTCTGTGGGCCACAGCAGAGCTGTGGTGCTGTCGATCAGCCAAGGCAGTGTGAGGAAAAGACAATTTTAAAAAATTACACATGGAACTTTGTTTCCTGGAGAAGCTTGAGATTTTAAAAATACAGACTAGCAATGTTCCCGAAACAAGCCAGGCTGCTCTTTCCTCCAGTCAGTTCTGGGCCCATTTCATTGTTTATTTGCTGTATCTGTCTAAGCTGTATGAACGAATAAATGAAGGAATGAATGAAAAATAGCATTTATGGAGTGCTTACTACATGCAAAGCACTGTGTAGAGTCCTGGGGATACAAATAGAAAAGTGCACCTAATAAGTCACTAATAAATGCTTTTTCTTTCATTCATTCATTCATTCATTCATTCACTCATTCATTAGTGAGTCCGTCATTCCTTGCTCTTAAGGAGAGAAGTTCTAATGGGGGAAATGCCACATTGGGAAGCTTTCCGATGTATTCACTTGGAAACGCTTCATACTCCTTAGCTTGCAGTGGCAAAGCTAATGATAATGCTTCTCCTTCTAATTGCATTTCCACTGATAAAATCACATCATTTTCTATTTCCAAAGACGTTGGTGGCAAGAAGGTTCTGTCCTGAGTCATCAGTGCCTGTGTCTCTGATACCCGTAGGAGCAGGTGCTGGGCTGCTTTCCTCAATAATGGCCTGGAAGCATTGCTGTTTCCAAGGCGTCAGGGTCCTAGGCTGTCTCCATCAGGGTCTGAGGGGAAGTGGTCATTGAGGCTCACCTGGCCTGGGCCGTGCTGCCTCCTAGATGCCCCTGAGGGCGCCCTTGCTGCTTCACCAAGGCTGGCTTTGCTTGCCTGGTGGGTAGCACTGGGTAGGAAGGACCAGCCCCTTGTCCACAGGAGTTGTTTTCCCAGATGATCGCTAGAGGCGCTGTGATAAGCACCAGAGGCAGAAGACAATCTCTGCCCTCAAGGAGCTTACAGTTGATGGGGGGAGGCAACACCCAAACAGATAGATGTAGAGCAGGCCATCGGTAGGCATAGGAAATAATGAACAGAATGAAGAGGGGCTGGGGAACGCCTCCTGTAGACTGTTTGAGTTGAGTTGGGACCAGAAGAATCACGTGGCTCTCACCATTTCCCCAACATCAAAGTCCTACCATTCCAGTACTCTGGTGGATTTAGGAGCCCATCTTCGTGTGCCTCTTGTCCCTATCTTTTCCTCACTCCGCCATGGGAGGACCACCCGACATTCTGGGCAGCCTTGACTGATTACGTCTCTTGCAGTCACTTTAGCTTTATTGACTTCTTGGCAGAGGAGGTAGAGAAGGAATATAAGCTTGCAAAACTTTGCGTGATTAAAGTTTTGAGATCCATTGTTTGAAAGGATGCCCTTGCTGCTTAACATTCCCACTGGTAATCACTTCTCCCTATAGCCTGTCATTTCCATTTCCCTATGACTGGGTTAGTTTGTTGGCATCTCTTTAAAAACTGCAACATCTCTGAGGCTCCGTTTTCACCAAATGCTCTAATTTTCTCCACAATGATTTGAACCCCCACACATACCACATTTTTTACTGGCTGGCTCATCTTGACTGTTCAGTCTGGCAGGAGATTCAGGTTCTGAGAGTGGAAAGTTCTGCTTTGTACTCTTACCTCTGTGTAGGAATGACATGGCTGTTGTGGAAAGAACATTCGACTGGCTGATAACGCCACACCAGATGCTTTCCATCAGAATGGAGGAGTAGAGTGGAGGTTAGAATTTAGGAGGACTGACTGAGCTAATGGTTCACAGATCAGTAGAAGAGACTTCCTGAGAGAGCCTGTGATCCCTCCTCCTTGCCCAGTGCACAGCTCTGTTGGACCCTGCCATGACCAATCCACGTTTATTCTGCTGTGCTCAGCCTTGCATGCCACGTTCTTGGGAGCACGATGGCAAGCTGAAGAGCATCCGGGAAAGGCTGACTGAGGTGGGTCAGTGGACGTAGTATCATTGCATGTGAAGGCTGTCTGAAAGAACCGCGGGCCTGGAGAAGACTTTGGGGAAGTGTGAGGACACCACTCC